AAAATATACTTAATATTTTGTAAGTATATAAACATTAAAAGTGTACTAAGTATATTTAAGTATGTTTTTAAAAAGTGCACTTGAAATTCATTTTAAAACAACATATCTGAAATATGGTTTTTGAAATATACTTTTTTAGACTTTGAATATAATCCTAAAAAGTATATTCTATTGATAATATATTAAAAATATATTTCTGTAAAATGCAGTATATTTAAAATATACTTTTAGTATATATATTTTTTCGCCTGGGTCTAATCGTCAACCAAACACTCTCCTTCCTGAGTGGCAGCTGCACTAAACAATACATGTTCACAAAACCCTGTTCCTGTGTATAAAGCATTTCCCTGTCCTCCACACATAAATACAGATAACTCTTTGTTAATTAGCTGCACATGTTCAGTAGTCCCCTTCACTCTCTCATAATGCATAATGACTCAGCCATAATAAATCCCAGCATGTCATTGCAGAGACGCCGTTAATCCTCCCTCAGATAAATCAGCAGAGCATGTCAGATAAGAAGCAGCAAAGAAGAAAAAAGCAGCAGCACAGAAATAGATACTTAAATCAGTTTACAGCTCTGACACAACACTCCAATTTGCTCGACTGAATTACAGATTCATGGAAACCTGTCAGAATATAATGAGCTGAAACCTCTCAGGTTACAAACTTTCTTCTCCCATAAATACAACAAATGTTTGTTCACACACACAAAAACTGATATTATATGGTGATATACAGTGGTTCCCAAACTTTTCAGCTTTTGACCCACAAAATAACCGCAGCAGAGACCTGTGACCCCAGCTGTTGTCGGTTGATAAACATTATTTTCACGTCAAATAAACAAGAGCATAGTAACATTATTTATTATGCTATTTTTATCCATTTTAAGTAAACTAGTCTTATTATTTTGTTACAACAAAAGGCAAAAAAAATGTTCTTAGTTGTCATTTTTTTGTGTAATTATTTCAAAATATATTTTCAGGACCCCACCTTGATGTTTCAGGACCCCAATGAGGGTCCCGACCCCAACTTTGGGAACCACTGATATAGAGCAGGGGATCTTAACCTTTTTGACCTCGGGGCCCAATTTATTGAACATAAAGTGACATGAGGCCCAGTTACACATTACCAATGTATGGATCAAAATGATAATTATTATACAGCTTGGTTTAATTTTTATTGTATTTACATCATAACTAAACTATCATAACTAACATAACTAAATTAAATACATTTACAGTTTAAAAGTNAAATGACATATTGTGAAAGCTTTTTCTGGCTTTAAGAGCCTTGCATTCAATCCTTAAATAAAACCTGTCAATAAACATGTTTCGGTTTGATTTATAAAAACAAACAGACTCAATCATTTCTCCACATGCTGCCTGCAGAGCTGCACTGAGACTTGAAGCTACAGTTTGGCTGATGATTGAACAAACGATTGTGGTAAATAACAACTGGTTTGGGATTTTACAGGACAATTAGCTTAACGGGTTATTAAATTAGATAAAGAAGGTCATTTGATCCACTTATGATAACCTGATCAGGGGCGGTTTCAGTCCCTTGTCGGCATCTTAACAAGCTCAGCTCCATGGTTTCTGGTTGCTCACGTATAAAGTTACACAACCGAGCCTGAACATTTTACAGCTTTGACAATATTTCTCAGAGGAGTTCAGTAAAAATTGCATCTCAGTTTGATGCACAACCAGACCAAGCTTGTGTTTTAATCAACCGCTTACAGAAGTCGTCTTTCATGTGCATAGTACTGTGTAAATATTATTTTGACTTCATTAATGTACACGCCGTCTCCGTTTCCTGCTGGTTGTCTTAAACTGTGTTCAGACGTGTCAATTAATTAAAAGTGAAGTGAAGCAGCTTTCTGTTTCCTGTCAGTCATCTTTAAAGGGGAGATATAAAAAATTATTATTTTTCTTGGCTGGACAGCTTCTATCTGGACGACTAACTAACTCAAAAACTTACAACGCACTAATACAGCTCCTTTACGTATGGATTTATTTTATTAAAGTTTGTGGA